CGTTACGGAGATATTTGCATATTCGGATTTTTGTTTTTTCCATATATTTTTCTTCATACTGTCGGATCTATATCCATATATTTGCTTACATATTCACCTTTCTAGCTGAATAAATCAAAGATTTTTTTAAGTGATTCAAAAGACAAATGGTATCAGGTTGAATAAACGTCTTATCTGAAAACCTGGAAGAAAGGAACTCACTTAGTCTAGTGGTTTTTAAATATTAAACATCTTGTGGAATGGGTAATTATGCTGTAAAATGATTTGGATTATTTTTACAGTTACATCCGGTATATATGAATAAATAGCAAAAATAACGTAGCTACTTCCGATTCAACACTTTGGGCAGGTATCTTCGAACCAGGCTATAATTTTAATGTTATCTATATAATACTAAAACTATATATATAATGCTTATCTATATAATACTAAAACTAATCTTGTGTGAGTGTCTGCTCTCCACATTCAGCTTAAACAATACATAATACCCGAATCAACTTAGCATATTTTACTCGGTGCCACATTTCAGTAAAATTACACAATGCGTTTTCTGTTTGTACGGCATTTTAATATGAAATTCAGTATCTGTTGTCAAGGCATATCATATCAATCCGTGTATATAAACAAACACTTACATATTATGTATGTGAACAATAATAAATATTGATAATACATTATGATTACATTATTAAATACATTTAAATAGACATAATGCAACATATAATATACAATTCACTACACTACATTAGAACTCTTTTTTTTAACCATCTACTTTAGGGGTTAAGTGTCAATATGTGTCATATGACTTGATGGTAAATAAATAAATAGATGCACGCAGATTTGATGCCGTTACTTATTTTGAAATAAATTCGAGGCTAAAACAGTTATATATAATAAAAAAAAAACAATCTTTATTTTGAAAAGGACTACACGAGCTGAGAGTTATTTCTTCAGATTTTCACGCAACGTGTTTACTATGAAGCACAGTGGAATAATAAACCTTCTTTTAACTTTCTTCATATATATATATGAATATGTGTAATTAATAAAAGAAAAACTGATAATATTGTTATCTCAGTATTTTGCAACATGAAATAGTATTAAATGAAACCCAACGTGTTTATGACTGATCTAGTATAATTATAAACTGTTCTATAAGTTCCAAAAGTTGACAAGGTCCGGCAAAATTTAAATTTTACATTTCGAAAGTTCTACATAGTACTGGGCACATTTAAACTTCATACTTTGTAAAAGATTTAATTTTTAACTAAAAATTAGATATTTTATTTCTTTTTTACCTGTACTCGGGCGGTGTAAAAAAAAAACAAAAAACAAAAAAACAACTTACGATTCGTTAGTTGAAACCTAGCTAGCTAAAATTATATATATATACCTGTTTTAAATCTTTTTTGTGACCTCGAACCCATAGCCTTTACTCATAACGTCACACTAGACAATTTCAAACGTCCAACTTACAAAAGAATACCAGGATACAGGCAAAGGAATTCTAACTACAACACAGGCACCACATTGGTTCTTGATAATGACTGTGAAACTCGAAAGTACCAGAACAAATATAGCAAAATATGAACTTCGGACATTTTATCCACAATTTCGATCCCAATTCTCAACATCTGATCTGGAAATATGAAATATGATAAAAATAAAAACATAAAACAGACCTTGACGGCTTTTTAATCAAACTTATTTGAATATTCAAGTCGTGATGTGTAAATTGTTGCTATTTTATATTTTTGATTTCGCGCATGCGCATTGTTTGTTTTCGATTCTGTCGACCGACCACACGGTATAGTATGGTTAGTTTGACACCGTCTGTGAGAAAAAGTGCACCATGAAGTAATTCACACCGCCAGGAATTTAGAAACGGTATTCTGTATTGCTTGGCATTCGCACCGGAAGTTCCTCTACGAACATTTCAGAGTGTTTTGTGTGAATGTAATGACAATGAAGAGGATTCGGAAAGAGTTGGATTAGTCTAATGGTGAGTACAAATGTTTTTGGCGGTAGTGCTGCTCTGCGTGAAGAAGGTAGCTGCTGGAAGATGCTATATCTGGCAACAGGACTGTGCACTATGCCACAGAAACAGGATAACACATACTTTCAGACAATTTCTGCGACAATATCAAACCTTCCATCTGGCAACCTACCTCCAGAGACTGCAACCCCCTTGATTATGTCTAAAGCACACTTGAGAGAGAGACTAACAAAACTCCTTGTAACACCAAAGATGATCTGAAGGAAAAGATTATGGCAGCATTTGCCAACTTAAACAAGGCGACCGTCCAAAAGAGTTAAAGGAGATTCCGAAGTCATCTGGAGGCCGTGATTGAAGCCAATGATGATTTTATTGAATAAATTTACTAATTTTTCTTTCAATATATTTTTGTGTAATTTTGGTAAACACATCTGTTAAAAATAGTTGTGAGTGTGATTTTTTGGGCGTAATTTAGACGACAATATATTCACCGTAATATATATATATATATATATATATATATATATATATATATATATATATATATAGATAGATAGATAGATAGATATAGAATAAATATATGTATGTATGTATGTATGTATGTATATATCGGGTCTACAGAGCTTTTGTCCTTGCCATCCTTTTGTATGGCTCAGATTCGTGGACTCCATACAGGTAGCATATACGCCAGCTGGATGTTTTTCATAAAAGCTATCTGCGTGCAATCTGTGGAGTTAACCTTCAATATAGAACAACTAACGTAGACCTGTTTAACAGGTGTAATATTGGAGGAATCGAGACTTTTCTCATACACTCTCAGTTACGATGGACTGGTCATGTGTTTAGAATGTCTGATGACAGGAAACCCAAGATCCTAATGTACAGCTAGTTAGATCAGGGCTACAGGAATGTAGGACGCCCATCGCTAAGATACAAAGACAAGCTGAAAAGCAATTTGTCAGCAGTTAATATACCACCTAACACCCTTGAGCTCTTAGCCTTGGAGCGGGTAGAATGGAGATCAACGTGTCTTAGTGGACTCCGCAGTTTTCAACCTGCTTGACTGGATCGTCTTCAAGAATCGAGAGCAAGATCTAAAAGGTCAACCAATCTAACAGTGATCTCATCTCACAATCCTCACTCTTGCTCTATATGTGTCCTCCTTCGTAAATCACTAGCGGGTCTTACGTTCCATTTAAGATTATCACACAGAATTTCCTAACTGAATCAATTAAGCTGTCAAATCCTCATACGTCGAAACTGATCGGAATGTCACACACACACACACACACACACACACACACACACATATATATATATATATATATATATATATATATATATATATGTATGTATGTATGTATGTATGTACGTATGTATGTATCGTTGGACATTCAGAATTATGATTTAGATTGGATTCCTTGAGCGCTGTTTTGTGTTTGCTTTCTTACAGCTCTGTCCTAGTTTTATTTACAGAGATACTGAACGCTTTAGCTTTTTGATTCGGGAGATATCTGTCTTTTTACCTTTTGCGATTTCCCTTATCATTTGTCTTTACACGTTTTCTCATTTGGCAGGCTTGGAATTTCTACGATTGATCTTTTGGTGCTTTACCGATTACATGTTTTATTCTACTTACGGATAAAATCTAAAAAAAAATTACTAACTGACAATACCATTTTTAAAAAATCGATTCCCAAATTGGAATTATTGAGTCGAGTTCAAATTCGGTTGCAGTTACTTCATAATAATACACTCGTTTTATATGAATTCAGCTCTTCTTCGCCACGCAGAGCAGGGGGGGGGGTTAAACAGTAGAACAGACTGTGCATTTTTAACCTTTGATTAGCAGCCAGTCTCAGAGAAATGAACCGTGAATTCATATATGTAGAGGAGATAACATTAAGCCGCTCCCAAGACTCTATATCAGTTCACCGATAATTAAGAAAAAAGTATCTACAGACATATTGCCGCCTATGTTTAGATGGGAACTAACTTTTAAAAGTGTTAATGGATAGTAGATATTATGGTATTGATTTAAACGTTCTCGGCCACCTTGAGGCTTCAAAAATATCGTGTTGGTGTATCGACTGTGAAAGTTAGATATTGATGCATTCTGACAATGAAATTCGTTGTTGTGAATGTATCAGTCATTCTTGTAATAGATTTGCCATAATTACTGCTTGAAGAATGCAGTTTTGATGTACATTAAAAAAATAAATAAAAATGTAATTCGTTAGGGAGAAAATGTATTGAAAGTGCTCTAATTTCGAAATAATTTACGCCCAAGATCAAACAAGATATCGCCCGTCCTCACTCAGCAACGTGATTTAAAGCAATAACGATTAACATTAAAAACAATAAAATACTTAATGAAAAAGGCTAAGTGACATCAATATAGATCAGGTGTCAAAATTGAGATTTAAATGTCTGGGTTTTGTTCATTTTGTTTAGCGGCATATCGATCTGTATGGTTGATTTAATGCCGTAATATTTTGAATATAGTTGTATGGCTTCAAGTACAGCTAAAATGTAATGTTGGTCATTGTTTAAAAATGTCGCTATAAATATATATCTTTGGTAATTTTTTGCTGGTATTTTTAGTATAAAAATGTATTTTTATACTTACATAATTCTGGGGAGTTCATTATTTGCCCATAGCTGGAACTATAACAGATGCTGCCACACAGGATCAGTGTGGACCTGTGAACAATAGCTATTAAGAGGTGAAAATTTAAATGTTTCTGTGTGTTTAACGTTTTGATGTAAATTGTTACCGGCGTTTGCTGTATTTCTCTCGTACCTTTTAACCGAACGCAATATAAAATGGACCAATTTTTTTTAGGATTCAGTAGAGGACGTGTTCACACTGAATAAGATCCGACTGAACGGAAGAGATCAAACTGATTGAATATTAACTTGGATCTCATAAACGGTTTTGTCTTTGTTGATCTCTGATATTTTCCGTAATTCGCAGTTGAGTGAAGCTTAGAGATAATCGAAAATGTGGGAAAGGTCAGAGTCTCTAAATGATTTCGACATCAGTGTTTCTTTCTTTCGTAAATTTTCCTCCTCTTTCACTGATTGGTTATTCTCTTTTTTTTTTCTATTTCTTTCATTTCTTCTTCCTTTTCAATCTTCATTTTTCTCTTTTCTTTCTTCATTTATTTTTGTAGGCGACTCTCGAATTTCTCGCTTTCTTTTCTTTGTTTTTTTTTTCAGGTCACTATCTTGCAATCACCGTCTTTCTTTTGAGCATCCATCTTTCTTTCTTTCTTATACTACACATACATACACATACAAACATACTTATGAATATACATCATCAACTGATTTCCACATAGACAAACTAGAATTTTGATACACCTGAGATAAAATGAAATATTTTAATCAAGGTAGCGTTAGTCGAAGAAAAAAAAAACTTAGCTTATGATTTCCTTGGTTTCATCAGTTCAACTAAAAGAAGAATCACAAAAACTATATGTTGGAAGAGGGTTTCTGGGACCCCTGAAGATGGTTGTCATAATTGGTTGTCATCACATTAGTAATCCGGGTTTATTATGTGTTCTAGCTTGACATTTGAAGAGAGTCTGTATGTCTCTATGCCTGTTTGCATACACATACAACCATGCACGCACACAGTATACACATACGTATATTTATGTTAGGTTGTCCCAAAATTTCGTAAACGCTTGCAAAAAATTGAAATTTTACTCGCCAAGTAATAACAAAAACAACAAAAATTATTCCTCAAAATAAAGACCATCATTTTCCAAGATTTTCTGCCATCGATCTGCAAGCTTTCGGATCTGGTGAAAGTACCATTCAGCCGGCTTCGAATCAAAGAATTCTTGACACGCTTCCTCGACTTCATCAAACGAGTCGAATCGGCGGCCCTTCAGAAAGTGTTGCATTGAGCGGAAAAGGCCGTAATCTGATGAAGCACAGTCAGGACTGTAGGCTGGATGTGGCAGAACATCAACGCCGTCCAGCTCTTCAAACTTGTCTTTGGTCTTCCTGGCGGTGTGTGGCTTGGCATTGTCCTGCTGCATCAAAGCGCGCTTTCGGTTAATCAGAGCCGGGTACTTTTGCTTTTAACTTTTCGTAGATCCGCTCTGGTTGCTGACAGTAAAGTTCGGCATTGATGGAACGACCATTCGGAACCAACTCAAAATGCACGATTCCTTCAAAGTTCCACCAAACGCACAACATGACTTTCTTGCCGAATCGATCTTGTTTTGGAACCGACGGTGTCTCTTTGCCCTTTTGAACCCATCGCTTGTCTCGATTGTGCTGGACCAGATAGACCCATTTCTCGTCCGATGTCACAATGCGCTTCAAAAACAACTCGTCCAATGGATTGCTGAGCAATTGACGGCAAATTTCAACTCGTCTGTTGTCTTGTGCTTCGGTGAGTTCGTGCGGATCTTGGCGCGGCTTTTTTGTGAACAAAATCAAGTTGCTTCAAGTGTCGGTGAATTGTCGATTTGCGAACTCCAAGCTCATCAGCCAATTCTCGAGTGCTCGATGAAGGCGCAGTGTCCAACCCGGTTTGCAAGTCTCCATCAATTCAATTTTTCGCAAGTGTTTACGCACTTTTGGGACAACCTAATATTCCTACATAAGTATGCCTACACATATATCCATGCAGGCATTTATATGCGTTGGAGCTCATTTTTATTTTTCTTATTTATATATACATATACATGCCAATCGATACATACCTATACACACATAGCACACATGTACATTTGCTTGTTGCTTATTTATGAAGTCAAAGAGAACATAAGTTTTTTCTCCGGCGAAACACGTCTTTGATTAAAAATGTTCTACTACATCTCAGCACTTTTGTTTCAGATATTATTATACATCCTACCAACAAAAATACGCTTTTATTATATATACTTCCGTTTTTTCAGGGTGGATTGGAATCCATTAATTTCTTGAAATTAGAGATGGACGGGTCCGTCTTCCGTTGAATTCGGGTCGACATAAATTATAGTAAAGTCAGTTCAAAGAGACGAATGCGCATGACATATGACTAAAGAATATCAAGCAACGTAAAAGTAATTTTTTTTTTTTTTCGTATCTCGTTCTCTGATGAAGCTTTAATAAAACCGAAACATGTTCGATTGATAAAAATTTCTTCTTTGTTCCCTATATTATCTTTCTTAATTGGTTCCATTGTTTCTTTATCATTTACTCTTTCTTTCTTTCTTCATTTAATTTTCTATATATTGCTTTTCTTTCCCTTTTCATGTATATATTTTTCCTTCTTTTATCTATTTATATATTCACTTATTTAGCTTTTGCTCTTCTTTCTTTCGCTCTTGTTGTATTTCTATATTTCTTTCTTTCTTTCATGTTTGTCGATTTGTTCCTTCGTTTCCTCTTTTCTGCTCATCATTACTTGTTTGTATGTTTCTTTCTTGCTTCATATCATTATGTCCCTTTTTTTATTTATATCACTCTCAACTATTCCATCATTCATTACGTTTTATTTCTTCTCAAGCAACACACAACGCCATTATTTCTTTTTTCGCTTTTTTATTTATTGGTTGTCTGTCCGTTCTTCCTAGCACATTTTCCTCATTCAATATTTTTTTTGTCGTCTTCATTTTTCACTGTCTTTTTCCTTCCATCAATTCACCCATCAACTTAATAGAATAAGTGACCTCGACTCTTAAAACGATTTCTTTCCCGCTAATTGATAACATAATGTTTCGCCTAATAAGTGACCCGTTCGAAAGACAACCACCTAAAAAAAAAAAAAAAAAGAAAAGAAAAAGGAACAAATACATAGTAACGAAGAAGAAGGAGTTTTCTGTTGTCATTTTCTAATTATTTCCACTTTCATCGTGGAAACAAGTAGGCAAAACGAACAAATGAAAATTATTCATCATAATCTAATTCTCTGAATTCTGCCATTTACATAAACTCTGAGCAGACGGCAAGGCGACCAAGGAAAGAAACCCAACAATCTAAAAGCATTCCATTATCGAAATTACAGGTGTGAAATAAAGAAGAACGTCATTAGGTCTTACTAATGCATGTATATTTATCGGGCTGTAAAAATGTATTGTTTATCATTGTTTATATATATATATATATATATATATATATATATATATATATATATATATATGTATTATGTATTGAACTATGTATATTCAACTTTGTGACATTCTATCTTGGTCTATTCACAGGTATCTGTTAATATATTGGACAGCTAATCTCTCTCTCTCTCTCTTTATTCATATATATGACTGGACTAAGATAGACGCATTAAAATGTCCAATATCAATATATATATATATATATATATTCTAGCATGCTTCGCGCGCTCGCTATCGTTTCGCAAAGTAAGGTATATTCACTACTTGAAACAAAGATTTTAAATGAACATTTCATTCAGACATTGGCTTGTTATAGTCAAGGAAAGTTTTTCAAATAGATACCAACTTGTTGAAGGACAAGTAAAATGCAAATTTCAAACACATTTCTGCAAAATATAAAATGGTATTCCTAAACAGATATGAAAACCAAAACAATCCTCGAATAAAAAACAGTAATGAAAGACAGTTAATTAATGAAATATATTTTTTTTAAATCAGTATGAAAATTAGTTAAACCTGAAGACTGACATTGCTTAGAAGTAGTTAATATACAATACATTTATGGAGGTTTTTGTTTGTAACACGTTTATTTGTCATCTCTGTTGCGTCTCTGTCTTTGGGCAGAGTGCGCTCAGGGGCGGTTCCATCGAAGGACAGAGTCGTAAATGAGGAAAGTTTTATGGAGATGTGCCCAGCCCTGGGAAACAGCTGCCTGAGGCTGCGACCTCTCATTGCGCTAAAGAAAGGGATCGGTACTCGCGCCGAGGCCAAACGCAACTGAGAGTCGCGGGGAATTTTTGTTTCTAGCCCGGGTGGACGCGCTCGGGCTCCCGACACTAAACAGATCTTGTGTCACAACGCGACTTTGTGTAAGGCGGTCGAGCAAATACGAAATTACTATAGAGGTGGGATTTTAATTTCAGAATTTGTAGGAGAATTGAGCTCCGATTTCGCATTTATTCATTTAGATTCCATAATATAGGTTTTACTTATGTAGCTATGATTTTTCTCTAACTGTTCTAACGCTGGATGTATAACTAAATCCAAAATCTTTATTCCCAATTTACAGTATATTAATTTAATCTTATAAATTGTCACCTGTTCTGTCAACCATGAAATAAAAATAATTGTTTCTACGGAAAATAACGATCTACGCAGATCTACGCAGATCCAACAGCCTTTTAATTAAATAGCAGCAGACGAATTATTGTTGAACTTTTACAATGTAAGTTTAAACATTAATTCAATACTTAAATTCAGCGATCGACTGAATTCTTCTGTAGTTTATTGATGTCTATCGCATCTACTCCTCCGATAGGGCGGCTTTTAAGCTAGCTTAAAATTTTAGCTATCTTACATCCTTCAACCATGAAAGCAAAATTAATGGCTAGTATAAAATATTTATATATATTTTTAACCTCGTATAATCTGGCAACCTTGAATCAGAGCTCAACAAGAATCGTTCTTTGCACCTAACATTCCCAAGTCTTTTGAATGCACTGTAAATCATTGAAATCGGACCAGGGGGAAGAGTTGCTTGGACACAAATACGCACTAACACACATACACCTTACTTTATATATAATATATATATGTATCAAGTGGTATCTTTAATGCTATATATCATTGTCCGAAAATTTGTTTTTGTTTTTGTTTTGCTTCTTCCATATGTATCGAACTGAGTTTATCACAATCTTTACATATTTTGGACCGTTTATATATATATATATATATATATATATATATATATATATATATATATATATATATATATATATATATATGTTTTAGTCTGTTCATCCCTATTTATATAAATATGTTCATATCTATCTATCTATCTGCCCGTATTTCTCTTTGTTAGCTTCATATCTGTCATTCTATCTATGTATCTACCTATACTTTGGTAGGTTTCTCTCTCTCTCTCTCTCTCTCTCTATATATATATATATATATATATATATATATATATATATAGTCTGTTCATCCCCTACTTATATGAATATGTTCATATCTATCTATCTATCTATCTATCTATCTATCTGCACCTATTTCTATTTGTTAGCTTCATATCTGTCATTCTATCTATGTATCTACCTATATTTTGGTATGTTCATATCTATATATCTATATTTTAATAGTTTGACATCTATGTATCTATGCATATTTTGATAGGTTCCTATCTATGTATCGTTCTATACTTTGGTAGTTTAATATCTATATTTTGGTACGTTCATATCTATGTATCTATATTTTGGTAGGTTCATATCTATGTATCTATCTATATTTTGGTAGGTTCATATCAATGTATACATCTATATTTTGGTGGGTTCATATCTATGTATCCATCTATATTTTGGTAAGTTCATATCTATCTATTTTCTGGTAGGTTCATATATATTCTGCTAAGTTCTATTTTCTGGTAGGTTCATACCTGTCTGTCTGTCTATCTTTCTACCCGTCTATATTCTGGTAGTTTGGTATCTATCGATCTATCTATATTCTGATAGGTTTATATCGATCCATATTTGGTAGTTTCATATCTATCTATCGTTTGGTAGGTTCATATCTATCTATCTATCTATCTATATTTTCGTAGGTTCATATCTATGTATGTAATTTTTGTAGGTTCATATCTATGTATCTATATTTTCGTAGGTTCATATTTATCTATCAATTTTCTGGTAGGTTCATATTAATCTATCTATGTTCTGGTATGTTTATATCTATCTATATTTAGGTAGGTTCATATCTACGTATCTATGTATATTTTGGTATGTTCAAAACTATCTGTTTTCTGGTAGGTTCATATCTATCTATCTGTTTATTTTCTGCTAGGTTCATATCTTTCTGTCTATATTCATGAAGGTTCATATCTATATATCTATCTATCTGTTGGTAAGTCCATATTTATCTATCTATATTTTGGTAATTTCTTGTATCTTTATCTATATTTTGGTATTTTCTGTCACATAGGACATGATTGAATGCAATTGTCCGTTTATATAAATAAGCAGAGTTAATCGAGTTGAGGAGAGTTAGTATTAGGTCAATTGCTAAGTGTACCTTCGTGTAGTAAACCGTCTATTTCGTTAATTATCTTCGAGTTTGCCTTCCTTATTTATTTCCCTCTGTTATCTAAAATATGCAGATACAACAGTTTCATATATATCAATATTTCGGTAGTTTCATATATATTTATCTATAATTTGGTAGGTACATATGTATCTATCTATAATTTGGTAGGTACATATCTATCTCTTTGTTTTGCTATATACTTTTATACCTCTCATATCTATCTATATCCATTCACCTCTCATGCGCTACATTCACATTTATATATGTCATTTAATCTCTCATGATATTCAGTTATGTGCCATGCGTGATACACGCTTAGGCGATCATGTGTCTTTCGATACATGACTGGCTGATGAATGACTATCTATTTATCTTTATTCAGGTAGGTTCATATCTTTCTATCTTCATTCAGGTAGGTTCATATCTATCTATCTATCTATCTGTTGGTAAGTCCATATTTATCTATCTATATTTGGGTAGGTTCATGTCTCTTTATATTTTCGTAGTTTCTGTCACATAGGACATAAATGAATACAATCGTCCGTTTATATAAATAAGCGGAGTTAAGCGAGTTGAGAAACGTGGGCAGTGGGCCAATTGTTAAGTGTACCTTCGTGTAGTAAACATTCTATTTCATTACTTACCTACGAGTTTGTCTTCCTAATAATCCAAATAATCTTTCCATGTTAGGCGTCCCCAAAATTAGAACTGTCTACTTCTGATTCTAAGTACCAGTGTCCTTTTTGTTCCCATTTTACTTAAAACTTCTTTATTACTCATATATTCCGTCCATGTTATTCTCAGTATCATTCTGTAGAAACATAGTTCAAGTCTCCTTACAATCTGTGTGGAAATGGCCAACTGTGATCAACTGCAATCCAATCTAAGGAATTTTCTTTATATATAAAATTAAAAAGAAATATTCTAAAAGTTAGAGTCCAGCTGTATAGGATCCTTCAAGTGCGAGTTCTTCTTTATTGGTTCTACCTTGGACTATCACCGTGATACAAGGAACCGGACACTGTTATCTCAAAAATACAGATTCAACAATTCCATATTGTTGTGGTAGGATCCACCTAATTTGCATAGTGGAGTACCGACCATATAAATATGGTTGGTACCGGGAAGAGAGGAAGGAATCAAGAGATACATACTTTTCCCATCTGTGCACAAGCTTCCGTATTCCCTCAGCGAAAATCTTTGGACTGATGTCTCAGCCAGTCGCTCACAACAATTTTGACTTCATCGTCACTTTTAAACTTCGTGCCTCTCGTGAACGCTTTCACGGGACCAAACAGGTGAAAGTCTGAAGGGGGCAAGGTCTGGGCTGTAAGGGGGGGTGAGGGAGCAGTTCCCAGCCCAGCTCGTTGATGGTCTGCACCGTTTGGGCTGCTGTGTGAGGCCTTGCGTTGTTATGATGCAAGATGACTCCTTCTGACTGATGACCCCTGCGTTTGTTCTTTATGTCTTT